CGGGGCCGACAGTGGGGGCTGCCTGTGTTCGGCTGCAGCAGGCCATGTCTGTACTTCTTCCAAGGGCTTCAAAGTCTCAATTCTACCTTTACGTGCGGTGGGTATTCAAACGTGTCGAGCCAAATGAGGACACAGGGAAATGAAAAGAGTATATAAAAGGGTATCCGTGCTGGGATTACAACTGTGAGAAACAGATGCTACATACAAGGGCAGGAAGGGATCATCAGGAAAGAAAACAGAGCATCAGTGCGGAGTTATGAGTCATTGTTTTATTTTACTTAATTTCTCCAGCTGTAAATTTTTCAAAACCAATATAAGCATATTTTACAGCTCACAGAACATTTAGAACATATTAAAATAAGTATCTTTCCACTGTAATGTACCCAATTGAAATTTATGAATTCCAAAGCTACATTTTAAGGAGACGAAGGAACTGTAGCACTCCACGCTCTTTAGATTAATCAGATGGATTGTGTTGTTTTTCTCTTGATCAGAAAAGAAGTCATATTTCAGTAAATGTTACCTTGAATCAAGGATTCTTTCACATTCTAGAAGCTTGAGTGAGCTTATATTAAGTCTTACTGTGCCCCCTAGTGGCGAATAAAATCTATGCACTTCAGAGAAAATCCTTCCCCAAAGGCTGGAAATAAAATCCAAGAAAAATGTTTTCAGTCTTCACTGATCACTTAACATGTACAAAACTCTGTGCCAGGTGCTAAAGATAATATATAAATGGGTCTGGCACGGTTCCCACGTTCAAGAAGCTTAAAATCTACAAGGTGTAGCAGATCTGGTTCATGGCTACACGGGCAGAAAGAGACACCACGACGTGGTAAGGAAGGGACAAGACTCCCGGGGGGGGGAGCAAACTCGGCAGCATGCGGCAAGTGCCTACTATGATGTGCCAGGCGCCGCCCCACAGAGCTCACGTCCAGAGTTCATCTTTTCTTCACAAAAAGCCAGCGAGGCACGCAGAATTATCTTGTCTCCACTTTGCATTACGTCGGCTGAGGTTCGGAAAAGTAACTTGCCCAAGATCACGGAGCCAGTCAGCGGCAGCAGGATTCAAACCGAAGTGCTGTGACCCTGGCCCCCAAGCTCTTCCCTCCTTCCTGATGCAGGGGAGCTCAAGAAGGCGCTCTGGCAGACATGAACCGAAAGACGAAAGGCGCCCTAGGAAGGGAGCACAGAGCTGGGGCGTACCCTGTCACAGCACCTCTTCTAACCCTTTCCCCACCGCACCTCCCGTCTGCTCTCCACCCGGGACCGGGCCGTAAGAAGCCAGGACTCCCCCCTGCGCCCACAGCCCCGTTCCCACTCGACACTCGGCATCCACACCCCCTCCACCCCGTGGGCCCCCAAGGTCGACCGCGCCACGCAGCCCCAACACTAGGGGTGGGGAGAACACCATCCTGCCTGGGGCTGCACACCAGCTCCACGCAACAGACGACTCCCTTCTCGGGTTCCAGCCCTGCCTGCACCTGGTCCCCAGTCGGTTTTCCCGTGCCGGCTCCTCCAGCCCCTGCCACACATTCGTCACGCTAACAAGTTGCTCAAAATCAGTTTGCCAAATAACTCTGTCACTGAACGCTGTCAAATGTCTTAAAGCAGAGAGGATCCTGGCCTGCCCATTTGCATGTACGGCTTTTAAAAGCCCTGCTTTTTCAAGACCCACACGAAGAAGAGGGGAAGAAGAGACACCGACTCCAGCAGCCATGACGACAACCGCACTGGCCCCGCCAAGGGCAGTTCCACAGCAAACGGCCCGGACCCAGGTCTCAGTGAATCACCCCAAGCAAGGCTTTTCTACCGCAGTCCCTCGGCCCGGGCGCCTGAGCAGCTTCCCAAGCTGGGCCAACTGCGCCCCCTTCTGGTCACGAGGTGTCACAGCTGGTTGGCTGACACGGCGTCCCCCACAGGGGGCGGGGCGGGGAACGGGACAGAACATCCCCAGTGCACAGAACCTGGCACACTCATCTAGTCCACAAACACTCACTACACGACAGAACAAACAAAACAGCCCAAATCAATGGTTTCACTCAGACGCGTTCCATTTAAAAACTAGAGTGGGGATGCCTCTGCTTAGAAAACCTCAACTTGGGCAAAAGTGATCCAAGCGGGGCCCACGGGGCCCCTCGCTGATGCCACATACAGACCGGTCCCCACAGGACTCCAAGCCCACCCCTCCCATCAGCAGATACGACCCCTCGGGTGGGCGGGCAGGTGGCAGGTATCCTCTGGACCTGCTGCCCTAAATCCCTCCACCCGTCTCTGCCCACAGCAACCTCCTAATGAGCCGCCACCTCCTCCAGCCCGTGCTGCCAAACATCTGCCAGACCGCCCCCTCCCCCCAAGGTCCTAGAAGGGGGCCGCCCGTGCCCCTCGGGTGGCCCACCCGTAGCCACACTCCCTCCACAAACTGCACCATGCGCCTGGCATTAGACAGGGGGCTGCAGACACATGTGCCTGGGCACGTGTCCCATCTCAGAAGTGTAGGTCTCATAGACTCGTGTGATCGGGGGGGAAACAGACTCTGAGAGGTTAAGTGTGTTGCCCAAGGTCATATAGCTGACCCTGAGCCCAGACCACTGTGACTCCAGCCAGACACGGTCTGGCACCACACAGGCCCACACGAGCCCGCCAGAAACCCCCCAGATGTGCTTTGGACGAAAGAGACAAGTCTGCACTTGGCCCCCCACGGGCGCAGCCTCTCAGGAAGGAGCGCTGAGAAGCCCCAGCAGCCTGGGATTGAACCAAGCCTGTTACAGGGCACACTGGGGACACCAGAAGCCTCCTGAGCCCCCACCCCCACAGGAAAAGCACCAAAGACCCGAGTGTAAAGTCCCTGGGCTTCAGACCGAAGGAAGAGCGCGGCACTGTCCCCAAACGACTCTGTTAGCCCCGCCAGAAGAGAACACAGGTAAGTGGGCTCATGACCCAAACTGGTCACTCAAAAATGACAACGATACCCATCGATTTAGCTTATTTCAAAGCCTCACTGTCCTTAGGTTTCCTTTCTTCATTTCAGAAAATGCCTCCTAGGAGAAAAGCTCAAAACGTAATTTGCAAGCACAATGTCCTGGGCAGGATGGTTCCAGAACAGTAAGAAAATAGAGGGAGGAAGCTGACACTCACCGAGCACCTGGAGGGGTACCTAGCTCTGCGACAGGGTTTTGTAAGTGTTTCGCTCACCTGGTCACATGACACAGGTATGACTGTGCCCTTTACAGAGGAGACACCAGACCGGAAGTGGGGCCAGCCAACCAGCCGACCAGGTGCTCTGTAGCAAGACTGGATCTGAAGCCATGTTCCCTCAACTCCAAAGCCATTTTCTTTCCAGGAAGCATTCGTTCAGCTCGTACTTATGTGGCACCTATTGCATACAGGTGACTTCCTAGGTGCTGCTGAGAGTGAGGGGGAGGGGCTGGAGACAGGTCAGAGGTGCGACGCACCCGCCGCACGACATACCTGAGTACGTGGGGTCTGCTCGCTGGAAGTCTACGTGATGTCAGGAGCTTTTAAGATAAGTAACAACGAGGGTCACCCGGGGGCTCAGTCGGCTGAGTGTCCGACTTCGGCTCAGGTCATGATCTCGTGGTTCCCGAGTTCGAGCCCCGTGTCAAGCTCTGTGCTGACAGCTGGGAGCCTGGAGTCTGCTTCGGATTCTGTGTCTCCCCCTCTCTCTCTGCCCCTCCCCCGCTCATGCTCTGTCTCTCTCTCTCTCTCAAGAATAAATAAACATTGGGG